ATCTACATTACACTCTGCCATTACATCTTCATTTACACTTTCACACACCCCACCCACACCCCCACCACACCCCACCACACCCCCCACACACCCCCACCCACCTCACACACCCCCCACCACACCTCACACACCCTCCACCACACCACACCCCGGCCTGGCTGGCCCCCCACCACATACTCACCACACCTACCACATCAAATTTTTCAATTATTCTTACTGATACTCTCAACACACTTCACGACCCTGATCGCACCTCTCACCACAACCCCTTACTTTGACGTGATTTAGTGGGGTGAATGGGAGGTGGTGGTTGACGTCGATTCTTCCTCTGGCTTGTGTTGGAGAGGGGTGGAGTGGAGGGAGGGGGGGGAGGAAATAAGTCCATCTGAACAGAAGAGAAAAGAATGCTGAGGCTTTTGAATGGTGTGTGTGTGTGTGTGTGTGTGTGTGTGTGTGTGTGTGTGTGTGTGTGTGTGTGTGTGTGTGTGTGTGTGTGTGTGTGTGTGTGTGTGTTTTGAGAGGCCAGAGAGAGAGAGAGAGAGAGAGAGAGAGTGAGAGAAAGGAGAGAGAGAGTGAGAGTGTACTCTATCACTTTTCTTACGTCTCTGTCCATACTATTAGCTGTACATGTATGTGTGTGTATGTACAAGGTATGTATGTATGTATGTATGTATGTGTGCCTGTCTGTGTATAATAATAATTAACGGTTTTGAAAGAGCTAAGCCAGAAGGCTGAAAATATACAGTTACATATTTGGGAAATGGGTTACGAATTACAACAATATACAAGTAACATAAGTGACACAAATTAAGTATATATAATAACTAGATGGGGGAAAGCTCAACCTACAGTTCATTTCAACATAGTGACAGTGTAAGAGTAGTGTTACCGGGAGGAATACATCTGATGATTTATAAGCATATTGATAATTACAATGGTTGGGACTGGGCTGTTCTTATAGCTGACTGAGTTCGTGCACGTATGGGCTGGATGCGGTTGTGGTTGAACAGCACTTCTCGGACTAGGGATCTCAAGGTAGGGAGCCGGTGTCGGATGGTGTAGAAGCCTACCAAATTTGCAGATGAGGTCGTGGTGATGGTCAGTGAGAGTTGAAAGGGTCAGTGTGTTGAGCGCTTGATATGTGGAGTAGGAAGGAGAGATTAATCTTGCATGCCCTCTTTGCACTTTTTTCTAGATGTACGTTGTGTGGCAATTTAGGGAGGAAGACCAGGTGGGGGAGGGCATAGGTGAGCTTGGGAAGTTGGAATGTTGCGTAGAGGCACGGGAGGAGCCAGGTGGGAACCCGAGGGACTTGAGTCGGTGGGAGGAGGAGGAGATGGAAACTGGTAGATTGATAGTTACTGACGTGTGTTTTTAAGCTGGAAGTATTTGGGTGACGCCGAGAGCTGTGAATCACAACTGGAGTGTGTTCGGGACCTAGGGTAATGGAAGGGAGGTGGGGACAATGTCGGAGGAGGTTGGATGTGATGAACCATGGTCTTGGTATGGTTGTTGGTGGCAGCCTAGTTTTGGAGACTGTTCAATAAATTCCTGAAGGGCGGTATAGGGAGCAGAATTGTTGACGCGGATTCCCAATGGTGGAGTCGTCGACATATTTCAAGGGAAGCAGGGGTTTTAGGGGCACCATTGATGAGCATAAGGAAGCAGAGTGGTCTCATCTGTGCCTGGGGGACGCCACAGGTGAGTGACTGAGAAGTGCAGGTATGTATGTATGTATGGGGTGATGTTTAGGTAGTGGAAGGGGTGGATGTTTAAAGGGTGGATGTTTAGGTGGTGGGCGTGATGTTTAGGTAGTGAAGGGGTGATGTTTAGGTGGTGTGAAGGGTGTTTAGGGGAGTGAAGGATGTTTAGGGTAGTGGAAGGGTGGATGTTTGGGTGAAGGGTGATGTTGGTAGTGGAAGGGTGGATGTTTGGGGTAGTGGAGTGATGTTTAGGTAGTGGATGGTGATGTTTAGGTAGGAAGTGGTGGTTTTAGGTAGTGAAGGGTGATGTTCTGTAGTAGTGACGTTTAGGTAGTGGGGGCAGATGTCGGCAGTGGAAGGGTGATGTTTGGGTAGGTGAAGGGTGGATGTTTGGGCAGTGAAGGCGGATGTTTGGGTAGTGGAAGGGTGGCTGTGGGTAGTGGGAAGGTGGATGTTTAGGTAGTGGAAGGTGATGTTTAGTAGTGGAAGGGTGGATGTTTAGGTAGTGGAAGGGTGGATGTTTAGGTAGGAAGGGTGGATGTTTAGGTAGTGGAAGGGTGGATGTTTGGATAGTGGAAGGGTGGAGTTTGGGTGTGGAAGGTGATGTTTGGGTAGGGAAGGGTGGATGTTTGGGTAGTGAAGGTGGATGTTTGGGTAGTGGAAGGGTGGATGTTTGGGTAGGGAAGGGTGGATGTTTGGGTAGTGGAAGGTGGATGTTTAGTAGGGAAGGGTGGATGTTTGGGTAGTGGAAGGGTGGATGTTTGGTAGTGGAAGGGTGGATGTTTGGGTAGTGGAAGGTGGATGTTTGGGTAGTGGAAGGTGGATGTTTGGGTAGTGGAAGGGTGGATGTTTGGGTAGTGGAAAGGTGGATGTTTAGGTAGTGGAAGGGTGGATGTTTAGGTAGTGGAAGGGTGGATGTTTAGGTAGTGGAAGGGTGATGTTTAGGTAGTGGAAGGGTGGATGTTTGGAAGGGTGGATGTTTAGGTAGTGGAAGGGTGGATGTTTAGGTAGTGGTGACCAATCGTGTGTTGCTTAATTAATGGGGGAGGAGCTGTGTGTGGGAGGGGAGGAGGGAGGGTGAGATAAGGAAGGAGGGAGGAGATAAGGAAGAAGGAAGGAGGGAGAGAAGCAAGTGGAGGTGAAGGAGAAAGATGGAAGGAATGGAGGATAGGAAAGGAGGGAGAGGGAGGTGAAGGAGGGAGAGAAGGTGAAGGAGGAAGGAATGAAGGAAAAACAACAAACACACGGGCGGCTGAGGAAGGAAGGAGAGAAAGTGTGGCTGATGGGGGGAAGACCCTGGGAGGAGGAGGAGGAGGAGGAGGACCCTGGGGAGGAGAGGAGGGAGGAGGAGGACCCGGGGGAGGAGGAGGAGGAGGAGGAGGAGGAGGAGGAGGAGGGGACTCCCTGGGAGGAGGAGGAGGAGGAGGAGGACCTGGGAGGAGGAGGAGGGGAGGAGGAGGAGGGAGGAGGGAGGAGGAGGAGGGACCCCGGGAGGAGGGGGAGGAGGAGGAGGACCCTGGGAGGAGGGAGGAGGAGGAGGAGGAGGACCCGGGGAGGAGGGGAGGAGGAGGAGGAGGAGGGAGGAGGAGGAGGAGGAGGAGGAAGACCCCGGGGAGGAGGAGGGGAGGAGGAGGAGGACCTGGGGAGAGGAGGGGAGGAGGAGAGGGAGGAGGACCGGGGAGGAGGAGGACCTGGAGGAGGACCCTGGGAGGAGGAGGACCCGGGAGGAGGAGGAGGAGGAGGAGGAGGGAGGAGGAGGAGGAGGAGGACCCGGGGAGGGAGGACCCTGGGAGGAGGAGGAGGACCCCTGGGGGAGGAGGAGGAGGAGGAGGACCCGGGGAGGAGGAGGAGGAGGGAAGACCCTGGGGAGGAGGGAGGAGGAGGAGGAGGAGGAGGACTGGGGAGAGGGAGGGGAGGAGGAGGAGGAGGAGGACCGGGAGGAGGAGGAGGAGGAGGAGGAGGACCCCGGGGGAGGAGGGGAGGAGGAGGAGGAGGAGGAAGACCCTGGGGAGGAGGAGGAGAGGAGGAGGAGGAAGGACTGGGAGGAGGGAGGAGGAACACGGGGAGGGGAGGAGGAGGACACTGGGAGGAGAGGAGAGAAGGAGGACGGGGAGGAGGAGGAGGAGGAAGACGGGGAGGGGAGGGAGGAGGAGGAAGACCCTGGGGAGAGGAGGAGGAGGGGAGGAGGAGGAGGAAGGAAATGACAGGAGAGAATAAGGGAGGAGAGAAGAAAGAAGGAAGGAAGGAGAGAGAAGAAGAAGGAAGAAGGTAGAGAAGAAAGGAGATGTGTTGATGAGGGGGGAAGGAGGGAGGAGGAGGTAGAAGGAGGGAGGAGGAGGAGGTAGAAGGAGGGAGGAGGAGGAGGTAGAAGGAGGGGAGGAGGTAGAAGGAGGAGGAGGTAGAAGGAGGGAGGGAGAGGTAGAAGGAGGAGGAGGAGGGGAGGGAGGAGGAGGAGGAGGAGGAGGAGGTAGAAGGAGGAGGTGGAAGGAGGAGGAGGTAGAAGGAGGGAGGGAAGGATAGATGAGGAGGTAGAAGGAGGGAGGAGGAGGTAGAAGGAGGGAGGATGAAGGAGGAGGGAGGGAGGAGGTAGGAGGAGGAGGAGGTAGAAGGAGGGAGGAGGTAGGAGGAGGAGGGAGGAGGAGGAGGAGGTAGGATGATGTAGATGAGGGAGGAGGAGGAGAAGGAGGGGAGGAGGAGGAGGTAGGAGGGAAGAAGGAGGAGGAGGTAGAAGGAGGAGGAGGTAGAAGGAGGGAGGAGGGAGGAGGTAGAAGGAGGAGGAGGAGAGAAGGAGGAGGGAGGAGGTAGGAGGAGGGAGGAGGAGGAGAGAAGGAGGGAGGAGTGTGAAGGAGGAGGAGGTAAGGAGGATGATAAGGAGGAGGAGGAGGGAAGGAGGAGAGGAGGGAAGGAGGGAGGAGGAGAAGGAGGGAGGGAGAGGTAGGGAGGAGGGAGGAGGAGGTAGAAGGAGGGAGGTAGAAGGAGGAGGAGGTAGAAGGAGGGGAGGTAGAAGGAGGGAGGAGGGGAGGGAGATGAGGGGAGGGGAGGGAGGAGGTAGGGAGGGAAGAAGGAGGGAGGAGGGAAGGAGGAGGAGGAAGGAGGGGAGGGAGGAGGAGGTAAGGAGGGGAGGGGAGGAGGTAGAAGGAGGGAGGGAGGAGGTAGGAGGAGGGAGGGGAGGAGGTAGGGAGGAGGAGGTAGGAAGGAGGGGAGGAGGTAGAAGGAGGGAGGGAGGGGAGGAGGTGAAGGAGGGAGGAGGGAGAGATAGAGTCACGGGAGGGAGGGAGGTGATGACAGACACGCAGTCAGGGTAGTGTGCACATCGCAGCGCCCGTGTGTGTGTATGTATGTGTGTGTGTGTCAGTCACTGCCGCGCACACCTTCATATATGTTGTGTGTCCCCGCTCGGTGTTACCTCCGCTCGCTCTCTGTTACCGACGTCCCCACTGTGTGTTAAGTTCCTGCCCCTTAGTGTGTTGCTGCCAAGGGCGGATCCAGGAGGGTGTGTGGGTTCCTGGTCACCCTTTCCACCCAAAAAATTCTAATAATTGTTCTTTAGTCCCCCAGTGTATGTGGCCTCAGAATGTCCATGTTATTGTGTGGGTGGGCCTCACTGTTCCCCCCACCCACAACTTCTTGGACCCCTCTTTTGATATTCCTGGATCCGCCCCTGTAAGTTTCTCGCCTTATTGTAAGTTACTTCTCTAAGTGTGTGTAGGTGAGGTGAAGTGAGTCCCTTACCTGGTGAAGTGAGTCCCTTACTGGGTGAAGTGAGCCCTCACTGATGAAGTGAGTCCCTACCTGGTGAAGTGAGTCCCTTACCGGGTGAAGTGAGTCCCTACCTGGTGAAGTGAGTCCTTACCTGGGAAGTGAGTCCCTTACCTGGTGAAGTGAGTCCCTACCTGGTGAAGTGAGTCCTTACCTGGTGAAGTGAGCCCCTTACCTGGTAGTGAGCCCTTACCTTGTGAAGTGAGTCCCTTTACCTGATGAAGAGTCCCTTACTTGGTGAAGTGAGCCCCTTACCTGGTGAAGCGAGTCCCTTACCTGGGGAAGTGAGTCCCTACCTGGTGAAGTGAGTCCCTTACCTGGAAGTGAGTCCCTTACCTGATGAAGTGAGTCCCTTACCTGGTGAAGTGAGTCCCTTACCTGGTGAAGTGAGTCCCTTACCTGGTGAAGTGAGTCCCTACCTGGTGAAGCGAGTCCTTACCTGGGGAAGTGAGTCCCTACCTGGTGAAGTGAGTCCCTTACCTGGTGAAGTGAGTCCCTTACCTGATGAAGTGGAGTCCCCACCTGGTGAAGTGAGTCCCTTACCTGGTGAAGTGAGTCCCTACCTGGTGAAGTGAGTCCCTTTACCTGGGGAAGTGAGTCCCTTATTTGGTGAAGTGAGCCCTTACCGGGTGAAGTGAGTCCCTTACCTGGTGAAGTGAGTCCTTACCTGGTGAAGTGAGTCCCTTACTTGGTGAAGTGAGTCCCTTACTTGGTGAAGTGAGTCCCTTACCTGGTGAAGTGAGTCCTTACCTGGTGAAGTGAGTCCTTACCTGGTGAAGTGAGTCCCTTACCTGGTGAAGTGAGTCCCTTACCTGGTGAAGTGAGTCCCTTACCTGGTGAAGTGTTATCTATCTATGAGTAAAAATGTCTTATGTATGTATGTATGTATACCAGTATATGTGTGTATGTTACGTACCGTATGTGTTATGTCAGATTTATGTATGTGTTGTATGTTGTGTGTGTATTATCATGTGCGTATCGTATGTGTGTGTGTGTCATGTATGTATGTTGTGGAGGCGTGGTAGGAAACTTTCACTGGGTCTCTTATTTGACAGAAAGTGAAAAAGAAAGTATTGGCGTTAACTTGTGTTCCAAAAATGATTCGGTTTGTTCATAATGATTCGGTTGGTTTGAGATAGTCTTGTGTTAGGAATGATTCGGTGTGTTAGATTAAGACTGGAGCCCAATACTACTGGATTAGATTAAAACCTAACCCAACCTATCCCAGCCCCAAACCTACCTAACCTAACCTATCCCAGCCCTAAACCTACCTAACCTCACCTATCCCAGCCCTAAACCATACCTAACCTCACCTATCCCAGCCCTAAACCTACCTAACCTAACCTATCCCAGCCCTAAACCTTACCTAGCCTCACCTATCCCAGCCCTAAACCTTACCCAGGCTCACCTATCCCAGCCTTAAACCTTACCTAGCCTAACCTATTCCCAGCCCTAAACCTTACCTAACCTCACCTATCCCAGCCCTAAACCTAACCTAAACCCAACCCAACGCAACCCTAAACCTAACCTATCCCAGCCCTAAACCTAACCTAACCCTAAACCTTACCTAGTCTCACCTATCCCAGCCCCAACCCAACCTAACCTCACCTATCCCAGCCCTAAACCTAACCTAAACCCAACCCAACCCAATCCAACCTAACCCAACGTAAACCTAACCTAACCCACCAAGCAACCTCTATCACGGGGCGTCCTGCAAGGTGGTGATCCTGGGCTGTTTCCTGCATCCGCTGTCGAGTGTTAAATGCTGTGGTTTCCTGCGCCCTGTGTGTGTGTGTGTGTGTGTGTGTGTGTGTGTGTGTGTGTGTGTGTGTGTGTGTGTGTGTGTATGTGTGTGTGTGTGTGTGTGTGTGTGTGTGCCTTGCCTGTCTATCTGTCTATGTATGTCTGTCTGTGTGCGTGTGTAGGTACTGTATGTTTGTGTCTGTGTGTGTATGTAGGTATGTATGTACTGTATGTGTGTGTATGTATATGTACCTGTCTGCCTGTATGTGTGTGTGTCTGGCTGTCTATGTATGTATATTTGTGTATGTATGTATGTACGTGTGTGTGTGTGTGTGTGTGTGTGTGGGTGATACAACACACTGTCTTTGTGTAGACATCAGCAGCTGTGTGTGTGTCTTTTTGTTTGCTTTGTGGAGTGATTGTTTACTGGAGACTTGATTAGTTTGTTTGCTTGTGAGATGATTGTTTGAGTGGATTGTTTGTTTGTGAGATGATTGTTTGAGTGGATTGTTTGCTTGTGGGATGATTGTTTGAGTGGGTTGTTTGCTTGTAAGTGAGATGATTGTTTGAGTGGGTTGTTTGCTTGTGAGATGATTGTTTGAGTGGGTTGTTTGCTTGTAAGTGAGATGATTGTTTGAGTGGGTTGTTTGTTTGTGAGATGATTGTTTGAGTGGGTTGTTTGCTTGTAAGTGAGATGATTGTTTGAGTGGGTTGTTTGTTTGTGAGATGATTGTTTGAGTGGGTTGGTTGCTTGTGAGATGATTGTTTGAGTGGGTTGTTTGCTTGTGAGATGATTGTTTGAGGGTTGGTTGCTTGTGAGATGATTGTTTGAGGGTTGTTTGCTTGTGAGATGATTGTTTGAGGGTTGTCTGCTTGTGAGATGATTGTTTGAGGGTTGTTTGTTTGTAAGGGAGATGATTGTTTGAGTGGGTTGTTTGTTTGTAAGTGAGATGATTGTTTGGAGGGTTGTTTGTTTGTAAGTGAGATGATTGTTTGAGTGGGTTGTCTCTTTGTGAGATGATTGTTTGAGTGAGTTGTTTGCTTGTGAGATGATTGTTTGAGTGGGGTTGTTTGCTTGTGAGATGATTGTTTGAGGAGTTGTTTGCTTGTAAGTGAGATGATTGTTTGAGTGGGTTGTTTGTTTGTGAGATGATTGTTTGAGTGGGTTGTTTGTTTGTGAGATGATTGTTTGAGTGGGTTGTTTGTTGCTTGTGAGATGATTGTTTGAGGGTTGTCTGCTTGAGATGATTGTTTGAGTGGGTTGTTTGCTTGTGAGATGATTGTTTGAGTGGGTTGTTTGCTTGTAAGTGAGATGATTGTTTGAGTGGGTTGTTTGTTTGTGAGATGATTGTTTGAGTGAGTTGTCTGCTTGTAAGTGAGATGATTGTTTGAGTGGGTTGGTTGCTTGTGAGATGATTGTTTGAGAGTTGTTTGTTTGTGAGATGATTGTTTGAGTGAGTTGTTTGTTTGTGAGATGATTGTTTGAGTGGGTTGTCTGCTTGTAAGTGAGATGATTGTTTGAGTGAGGTTGGTTGCTTGTGAGATGATTGTTTGAGTGAGTTGTTTGCTTGTGAGATTGTTTGAGTGGGTTGTCTGCTTGTAAGTGAGATGATTGTTTGAGTGAGTTGTTTGTTTGTGAGATGATTGTTTGAGTGAGTTGTTTGCTTGTGAGATGATTGTTTGAGTGGGGTTGTCTGCTTGTAAGTGAGATGATTGTTTGAGTGAGTTGGTTTGTTTGTGAGATGATTGTTTGAGTGAGTTGTTTGCTTGTGAGATGATTGTTTGAGTGGGTTGTCTGTTTGTAAGTGAGATGATTGTTTGAGTGGTTGGTTGTTTGCTTGTTTATAAGTGACTTGTTTACTTTTGTTTGTAACTGCTTCTCTTTACTTAATGTTCCGATGGTTAAGCAATGGTTGCCAACTAGTAATGCTTCTGTGGTTGCTTATAAGTAAGTGGTATAAGTAACTTTACCTACTGTTTGAAGGTAGTAAGGCCATCTTCACTTAACCTAACCTAACCAAACCTAACCTAACCTAACCAAACCTAACCTAACCTAACCTAACCTAACCTAACTTAACCAAACCTAACTTAACCTAAACCCAACCAAATCACAGAAGGAAATGTTTATAAGTAGCATTATAAGTGGTGGTTACTAAGCCACACTTTACAGCACTTAACGACAGATGTTGTTTTATAGTAGTGTGTGTGTGTGTGTGTGTGTGTTTCCGTTATCGGGATACAGAGTTCTCTCTCTCTCTCTCTCTCTCTTCTTCTCTTCTCTCTTCTCTCTCTCTCTTGTACAGAGGTGTTTTAGCGAGACAGAGACAGACAGACAGACAGACAGACAGGCAGACAGACAGATAGATAGACAGAGACAGACAGACAAACACAGACAGACAGAGACAGATAGACAAACACAGACAGAGACAGACAGACAGAGACAGACAGCCTCCCCTGCAGTGGTCGTCAGTTTATAAAAGTGACTTTCCAAAATGTTGACAGCATATTGTTTCTTGTTAATGATCTTTATAAGCTGAGTCATGCAGGTGTGTTATTCAGGTGTGTGAGGTGTAACATTCAGGTGTGTTAGGTGTCATGCAGGTATGTCAGGTGTGTCATGGTGTAGCCATACAGGTGTGTCATGGTGTGTTAGGTGTAAATATGCAGGTGTTAGGTGTGTCATGCAGGTGTGTGAGGTGTATGCAGGTGTGTTAGGTGTGTTATGCAGGTGTGAGGTGTGTCATGCAGGTGTGTTATGCAGGTGTGTTAGGTGTGTGTCATGCAGGTGTGTTAGGTGTATATGCAGGTGTGAGGTGTGTCAGTTGTGAGGTGTGTATTAGGTGTTAGGTGTGTATGCAGGTGTTAGGTGTGTATGCAGGTGTTAGGTGTGTCATGGTGTGTTAGGTGTAAATATGCAGGTGTGAGGTGTGTCATTGT